CACTCATTGGTCTGGTAGAATTTGCCAGTAACTTGTCTGTCTCCCCTGCTAGACTCCAAGCTCCAGGTAGAAAAGGACTTCATCTTGCCTGGGCATTGCTGTGTCCCCCATGCCCAACCTAGTGCCTGGCTCAGATGGTAAGTACTCAGTAACCTTTGCTGACAAATGGATGAGATAGTAATCTGAGTAGGGTGAAGCAAAGATTTTTGACATTGAGCTCCTTTGCTGGGAGTGATGGGGATGGGAGTTCCCAAACCTAACCCATAAGCATGTTCCTGGTAAACCCATCCTTGTCTTCCTCCCCATTTGGTACTCTGTGGCTCCCCATGGTTGGCTGTTTCCCAATCCTTAGGTAAAACCTTCCTGTTCCATCGCCCCATCTCCATCTCCCAGGACCCTGAAGTCCCATCCTTTCCCAATTTGCATTTGCCTTGCTCGTTTTCAGAATTACCGGTCCACCCTCTTGTATGTATCTGCTGGTTTGCTTTCCCAGTAGAAGCACTTCTATATCGACCATATCCTTCCAGGCTTACAGTGGAGCTGAGGGCACTTACAGCATGGTAGCTTGGGCCTTACCTGTGGAGCCTGACTGCCTGAGTCTGAATCCCTGCTTTACCACTTACCATCCTGTGAATCTGAGCAAGTTACTTCATGTTTTTGTGCTTCTGTTTGTTTGTCTTCAAGATAAGCCTATTAGGAATATCTACCTTACAGGGTTATTGGAAAATGAACTGTGCCTACATGTGTGGTAGCCAGTCCCCAGAATGGCTGCCAATGAACCTCCCCTCCTGGTAGTCACACAAGTTGTATAGTGCCTTCCCAGAATGAATAGCGCTAACCTGTGTAATCAGTGGGATATTCTGAGAAGGATGGTGTGTGACTTCTGAGCTAGGTCATAAAAGACAGTGTGGCTTCTGTGTTCCTCTCTTAAATCGCTCACCCTGGGGGAAGCCAGCCACCATATCATAAGAACACTCAAGCACTCTATGGAGAGACTCCACATATCAAGGGCCTTCATTGCCAAGTTCTAAGCTCCTTTTCCTGCCCCACTGTTCCAGTTATCTATTGTTGAGTAATAATACCTAGTGGGGGGGGGGAATTTTTTTTTAATTTATTATTCCCCTGGACTTTAAGAATCTGGAATTCCAGCAGGACACTGTGAGGATGGTGTATCTCTGCTCCACTCTGTCTGGGGTCTGAGTTGGAAAAACTGAAATTCTGGGGGTGACTTGACAGCTGGGGGCTGTTTTATCACTACTATGCCTGGCAATAGATGCTGGATTTTGGCTGAACTCTTCCATGTGGACTCTTCATGTAAGCTGGGTATCCTCATAGCATGGTGACTGGGTTCCAGAGTGAGGATCCCAAGAGGCAGAGGGTGGGAGATGGCAATTTCTTAAGGCCTGAGACCAAGAAGTAGCCCAGCATCATTTTTGCCACATTCAGTTGGTCAACCAGTCAAGAAGCTGAGGTTCAAGGGAAGGATACATAAATCCTACTTCTGGATAGGAGGCATGTCAGAGAACATGAGGGCCATTATTTAAAAGTGCTGTACCCACAGCAGCCTCAGAAAAACCAGCCCTGTTTGGTGAGGGGCTCAGAAAAACCAGCCCTGCCCTGACAGGCCACACTCTGGAGAGTTGGCCTTATATGCACAGAAAAGAAACACGAACTCTACCAGCCTCCTGTGCTACGTGCTCAGGAAGAGCTTCCATGGGGAGGGCACATCACAAGGGTTCAGAGAAGGGGCTGGAGTTGGAGTTGTCAGGACGCTTCCTGGAATCTACCATGTGCCGGGCACAGGGGAAACAAAGATAGAAAACTTTAAGGAGTAGCTTTGAAGGGCAGTGCATGGTGTAGAGGGAGGATGTGTAAAGAAACACTACCACCTGATGTAGCAGGTGCCACATGAGAGATGCCTAGAGAAGGGACAATATACCTGTCTCAGAGGCTCGGAGAAGATTTCCCAGGAAAAGTGATGTCTGAGCCAAAGGAGAAGGGTTTCCAAGGTATAGGAACAAGCTCGGGCAAAGGCACGGAGACGTAAGAAAACAGTGTTTGGCCAACTATGAATGATTCAGAGTGACTGTGAGGTGGGCAGAGCTGAGAGATAAGGCTCCAGGGACACACTGGGGTCAGGTTCCAAGAAGCGTTACAAAGGTAGATCACTTACTGATGAGAAGCAGGCAAGTGGCATGAAGAAAGAGGGTGCCCGTGATCTGGTGGCACTGCCATTAAGCCTGGGAGAGATCACAAAAGGGGGGGGGGTCAGGAAGCAAGGTGGTTTGGACACGTGGATTATGAGAAGCCTGTGAGGCACTCACGTGGAGATTCCAGTTTGATATGTTTGGCCAGGTATGCCCGAGGGCCAGAGAAGGGGAGCAGCTTGCTGATGGAGAGCCTTGCATGTCAGGGCTACGGGCCAAGCCTATATTCTGTAGGCAAGGCAGAGCCAGAGGAGATTTTAACTAAGCGATCATAATGGCCAGTGGTCAATGAGGGCTCACTGCATGCTGAGTACAGTCCCAAGTGTTTGTTTTTTTAAATAAACTTTTATATATATATATATCTTTATTGATTTCAGAGAGGAAGGGAGAGGGAGAGAGAGACAGAAACATCAATGATGAGAGAGTCATTGATCGAGCCCACGACCTGGGCATGTGCCCTGACCGGGAATTGAACCCCGACCGCCTGGATCCTAGGTTGACGCTCAACCGCTGAGCCACACCCGGCCAGGCCCAAGTGTTTTATATGAATTTATTTGGACCTCACAGTAATCCTGTAAGGTGAGTACCGCTACATTTCATAGAATTTAAGATATCATCAATTGTAATATATACCATTATGTCATGACATGTCTTCAATTTAAGATGGATTCTTCAGAGATGTTAAAATGTAAACAGGAAAAATAAGACCATAGAATCAATGAAATACATGATCTGCATTTAAAATATGAAGAAACAGGAACCAGGAAGTTAAATGACTTGCCCAAGGTCCACTAAGAGCCAGGATTTGAAGCTCAGTTCCAAAGCCCAAATTCCTAACTGTCATTTGATGCTGGATAGGAGGTGGTGAGCATGTGGAGTTTTAAGACCAGTGTGGTCGCTGAGGGTACAGTGTATTTGAAGGGAGAGGGCAAAGTCAGATGGCATATCTGGGAGACAAGTCCACAGTAAGAGGATTCTAGGGTGAGCTGGGCAGGAGGAGAGGGCAGATTGGGTAGAGGTCCTTCATGAATGGGTAGAAGTGGTTGGCCCACTGCATGTTGGGTGTGAAAACAAGGACAACTCCAAAATGTTGAGCCTGGGAAAAGTGGTACAGCATAGGCGGCTCCGAGGCAGCTACTGAAGACCAGAGGAGAGCTGTGGTACCTGGGCAGCCACTTGCAGCTTCTCATTCCAGCTGGGGAAGTGACATTGCTTGGCACCTGGTGGGCACTCACTGCATATGTCAAATGAATGAATGAACAAGTTGTTATATGATCTTGGGCAAGTCGTATAATCTTTTTTTTTTAAAGTATATTTTTATTGATTTCAGAGAAAGGAAGGGAGAGGGAGAGAGAAATAGAAACATCAGTGAGGAGAGGGTCATCATTGATCGGCCGCTTCCTGCACACCCCACACTGGGGAGTGAGCTGCAACCCGGGCATGTGCCCTGAGCAGGAATCAAACTGCGATCTCCTGGATCCTAGGTCGGTGTTCAACCGCTGAGCCATGCCAACTGGGCAAGTTAGATAATCTTGCTGTATGATCTCTAGGTCTCATTTTTGCATGTAATATGACAGGAGCGGATTAGAACATGTAAAACAACATGGAAGGTACTTTCCTGGAAGGGGCAGGCATTCCTCTCCCCATCCCAGGACCTTTACGGGTACCCCCAGAACAGTGGTTCCAACCCTGACTGTAAGTTAGATGAACCAAGGCCCCATATGAGACCACTAAATTCAGAATCTCTGGCGGCGAGGTCCAGGCATGGGTAATTTTTAAAGCTTCTAAGGTGACTCTAATGTGCAGCTAATCAAGAACCTTGACCCTGGAGCCTCCAAGTACCCAATTTTGAAAACCACTGAGGTAGGTGAGGGTCTGGATCCCTTCCAGGCCTAGGCCTTGTGGTTGGTAACAGGCCTCTCTTTTCATGTCCCATATCTCATCTCCCAAACCAGAACTCCTGATAGCCAGGAGACCAAACACCAGAGTTTTTCAACCACATACTATTGGCATTTTGGACTGGAAAATTCTTTGTTGTGGAGAGACTCTTGGGCATTTTAGAATGTTGAGCAGCATCCCTGGTCTCTACCCACTAGATGCCAGTAGCATTACTCCCCCCCGCCCCCCATCAAAGCAATAAAAAATGTCTCCAGACATTGGCAAATGTCTCAGGGGTGCAAAATCCCCCCAGTTGAGAACCACTGTGCTCCACTGAGTTTCCTGTCCTCCCATCCAGTTGCAGACAGAGACCAGGCAGGGGTGGAAGCCATTTCACAGCAGTTTAGTTGGGCCTGGCAGGAGGGAAGCCTCTGTGGGAGGCCAAGCTTCACAATGTTAAATGGAGGGAGCGCATGCCAGCAGACTGACTGATGTGGTCTCGCTGGAGAGGGAGGAAGTTTTCCAGAACACTCATTCCCGGATTCCCAATCAGTCATAGGAGGGCCAAGAGTAGCTTCAGGGGCAAACAGCCCCCACTTTACGGGAACAGGCAGAAAGGGGTGTGGCAGTGGTGGTGTGTGCGGAGGGGATTCTTTCCTTCTGTAGATATTTTCCTGGCATTGGTGACTGCCCTGTCTGATTGGTTGAGGGCTGGAGGGGAGGAACTTTCCAGCTGTGGCTGCCTGGATCCCTGGAGGCTCTCTGACAGTGGGATCATGGGGACATCTGGGTTTCAGAATCTGGAAGACTGAAACTTTGGGGCTGGAACTAAGAGGCTGGATGCCTACCCCCCCATCCCCCAAGTGAAGTGGAAGTTGTGGGTACACTCTCCTTACAGCTGGAGGCTGGGTTCTGTTAGTATCTTCCTCTTTGTAAGTCACTTTTTATTTCAAGGCGATGGAACCTGATGGAAGATGGAGGTGGGAGGTCTGGGAAGAGAAGGGGAAGAAAGGGAAGGGAAGGGAAGGGAAGGGAAGGGAAGGGAGCTGGAAGGGAGCTGGAAGGGAGCTGGAAGGGAAGGAGGAAGGATGGGTGGTGGAAGGTACTGGGCGGGTCAGAGGTGGTGAGGCTGTTTCCTGCCCTTATCCCCTGACTCACTCCAGCACAAGGCTCAGGACGCCCAGTAACAGGATAGTTCCAGAGACAGAGAGGAGCAGAATCCTGGCTTCCCAAAGATCATGACTTCCTGCAGGGAACCCAGGAAGCAGTGAAAGATCCTGGGGACTATACCCGTTGACACTGGGGGCGCCTAAGAGCTCAAATATCTGGGTGAGGTGAGGCAGGGTTGGGGAGTAAGGACCTGGGAAGCAGCGCTTTTGGGGCCAGCAGAGCACCTCGAAGCTCTCGCAGGTGGAGCAGTTGTACAGGGTGGTGCTGCCCCCTGCAGGAGAGAGTGGAACCAGAGCTGGGGAGGGGAAGCCCCAACTCCACCCTTCCAGAGTATCCCACTTCCTCCCTCCAACTGCCAGGCTCTCCTCAGGTACCCCAAGCCCCTTGTCCTCACTACCCTTTCCTTTTCTACTCACAACAGGTGGGACTGCAGAGAGCTGAAATGAAAGACAAGGAGGGGTGGGCGTAGTTGAACAGTTCAGCCACACGCCCCTTGGCCCGAGACCCTTGTCACCCCTTGATTCCCCTCCACATCAGTACCTTCCCTGGTGTACTCAGGAAACTTGATATTTTGAAGCCATTTCCAATATGAAGGGAGTGAGGATAAAGACCTTTTGATCTCTGGGGAGGCAGAGAGCAGCAGTTCTACCCAAGGCCTCAACAGTACCTGTTCACCTCCACCCCTTTACCCAGCAACCCCCCAAACAACCCCTTCTGTCTCCACCTGCCCTCCACTCCTGCCTGCCTCCTCAGCCCCTTCCTCCCATTCCCCTCCTTGATGCCCATCCAAGCTCCTAGGTTGTGCCTTCCCCAATGACCTCACCAATGACCCTCAGGACTCTGTGAGTCTTCTCTGTGACTCTGTTCATAGACACTTCATCTGTGGAGATGGGCAAGGACCAGTGATTTCTTCATCAGCCCAGAAGAAGATTCTGGGGTCTTTCTTGACTTTCCCAAGGTCCAAAGAAGCTCTCCCAGAGGGAGAGGCTAGTGAGTTCAGGGAGGGCTGTGGACTGAGGTGATGGCTGAGGGGCACAGCTGGGAAGCCACATGTTGCCCTGCTTGGGGCATGGGGGTGACTATTGCTGGGTCCATCCCTGGATGTCTGGACTTACCTAAGGCAAAGGTCGAGAAGTTCCAGGAGACCATACAGTCCTCCCACTGGGTAAGCATCTCGCTGCAGAGCCAAGTCAGGCGGTCTGACAACTCATGGTCTGGGAGGCGGCAGAAGATACAGGCCTGGGCAGCTGCCAGGAAAGCCACACCTAGTGCCAGCATCCACATGAGGCCCAATGGGGAATGCTAGAGCTGGCCCCACCTGGCATAGGAAGGCTCTGTGATCCTGGTTCCAGCCCTTTGCCTGGAAGTTGTAGTGTTCCAGAACAGTTGGAGGTTCTTGAGCATTCTAGAACAGTGCCACTGCTCCATTCCTGGCTGGGGCCCAAGGAACTGGGGACCAGAAGACGACATTGCTAATGGGAGATGGGTGGAGAAAGCAGGACTTCTGCTGCAAAGGGGACAGCACCCCCAACCTGGCCCTCAGCAGCCTGTACAAGTTTGTGGTTCCAAAAGCAACTTTATTTTTCCTCTTGTCAGTGATAAATAATAAGTGACTCCCCCCGGGGAGTTGTTCATGAGTATCCCATGCCCTCGGGGATGCAGAAATCCCATCCCTTCCCATATCCCCCCCAACTCTCCCCAAACTCTCCTGTTTAGTTCCTCTCTACCCTGAGCAGCCTTGAGTCTTTCCTCAGCTATCTCCTAGCAACAGGCCCATGGTTGCCTTAACAACCAAGAATTCTATGAAGGTCTCCAAGGCCTGGCTAAGCTCAGTGGCTTCTCTTACCTCTCTCACCAGGAAGATCCCAGTGACTTAAACGCCACCAGGCCTTCCTGCATACGTGGTGACGTGAGTGCACATGTATGCATGTACGCAGCCCTTGTGGTTAAACTATTCGTTCTCAGTTTACTCATACCCATAGACACACCTGGTGCCCAAACAGTGTCTGGGCAACCCAAACAGGCCTGGACATGCAGAGACCACAGAAAGGCCAACACACAGACACCATCATGAGCAACACAGATGGGAGCCCAGATGTCAGGGACTCACACATCAGTCAGACACACACTGACACACACGATTACATGAAGGGAGTTAGGCCAAGGCTCAAGAAGACGCCACCCTCCTCCCCATGACCAGCTCTACCAATATTAGATCCTTAAAACATTTGGATCTCCAGAGGGATGCAAATTAGAGGATTCTCCTAGCTCTCTTATGCCAGCCTAGGGTGGGCTGTAGCCTTTCTGTCTTCCTCAGTAGGTGGGTTGGGACACAGCAAAGAATCTCCCTTCCCAGGCCAGGCCACTCAGCTCCAGGAAGAGAAGTCACAGTCCAGGAGACCACATTAGAGCAATCCAAAGTCCCTCTTCCTCCCAGACCTTAGTGTCCCTGCAGTGTTCTGCTAGGCCTAGCCCGGGCAGAGAAGTGTCCCCACTTTTCCAAACCCCTGAATATTGAGCTCCAACCAAGGAAACTGGAGGTCCCCAGGCTCAGGTGAGAACAAGCCAAGGGAACCTTCCCCACCCCTCCCCTCCCAGGATTAGCACCAGTCCAGACCCTCTGTAACACTTGTGAGCCCTCAGTGGGCTTGGGTTTGGGGAGTCCTGCCCACATTTAAGCTCCAGTCAGGTGCAGTGGGACCTCTCACTCTCACAGCTCCCGAAGCATAGCTAGGAAAGGGCTTCAGGGGAGCCCTCTTCCTCTTTGCTGTCCCCTTCTCTCCCCACCTCCAGTCAAACTGAGGGCAATATTCCCAGTTCTGTTTTTAGTGCCGGACAAAGCGCAGAGATCTGGAGTTGAGCAGGTCTTCAGGGTCAGGGAAAACGGAGTCTAGACGGAAGCCATGCTCCAGAGCCACCCGAAGCACCTCCTCCAGAAAGCCCGGTGTGCCCACCACTTCCCTTGGCTCTCCTGGCCCCCCTGTCCACAGTGGCTGAAGCCCCAGTTTCCTGTACTCCCCTTCCGGAAGTTCCGTGGGGCGGGGGGCCCACTCCAGACGAAAGTGTGGTCCTCCTTCTGCTCTCTCCTCGTTGGCCACACCAAATCGGGCCCTCATGGCACCCAGACACTCTGGGTCGGTGCAGAAGAGGTTGGCTCGGAAGGTGTCCACCTGGACAGAGCTCAGCTCATAGTGGTGTGGGCCCCGGCGAGCAGAGAAGTGCACCATGCGGGGGCTGGCATCTACATCTGCGTGGAGCAGGGCAGCTCTGGGCGCACGGCTCCCCTGAGAGGCCTCCAGTTCCCGCAGGGCGTCTAGGAGAGGTTGGATCTGGTAGAAGTCAGCCTCTGCCCTGAGAAGCGCTGTCTCCCCATATCCAAGGGGCAGATCCAGGCGGCCCAGTCGCAGGAAATTGAGAATGTGCCGGAAGGCTTTGCCATCTCTGTCAATGAAGTAGTAGTGGCCACCTCCCTGGGAGTTGAGGTTTGGGGGAATGGGGGTGTCAGCCCTAAACATGGCCCCCAGCATGGAGTCTGGGAAGCGAGTCAGGGTCTCCAACGTGGTGGAATATAACGTGCCCCCCACATTCAGGGTCACGGGGCCCCCAAAGGAGGGGGGTGAAGAGGGCACAGGAGGAGGGGAAATTTTGGGGGGTACTGGAGACACAGAAAGAGAAGAAAAGGCAGAACTTCCTGGGTGTGTGCAGAATTGGGTCGTAAGGTTTGCACCGCAGTTGGAGGCACTGGTTGGAGTACAAGGCAGCAAGATTCCAGGCTCACCCAGCTACCTTGGTAGTGGGGGATGGCTTCTGGGCACAGAAATGCCCAAAGGTTTAGAAAACGGATGAAAAGAGCACGGGGAAGTCCAAGAGGGAGGGAGGTTTAGGTACAGACGCATCCGATCCTGGGTGACCAGCGATTCCTTTCTGTGGCGTTTAGACAGTGGGTTTCCGGAATCCAGCCAGCAGGTGACCCGCGAGCACAAGGCCGACTCTTTGAAGGGTCCAGCTTCCGAGTCCTCGGGAAGATCGCTGCGGCCGCGGGTGAGTCCACGCAGGGTTCCCGGGCCAGTCAGAGGCCTGGCTCCCGCGCGGGTCCCAGGGGACGGAGGCGGGGCTCCCGGGGCTGATGCAGAGGCGCCTGGCGACCGGCTGGGGAGCGGGGATGCGCTCTAAGTCCGGGCCGCGACGGTCCGATCGTCCGAAGACTCTGGTGGAAGCGGTCGGGAGTCGGACCGGGCGCGTCGCCTCACCCCAGCGTCCCCGCAGCAGCTTAAGTCCTCTCCGCCCCCAGGAAGTGGCCTAAGGGCTGCAGCCCCGGGACCTTTAAGAGACGGCTCCGCCCC